AGGGCTCTATTTTCACAAGTTACCCCCTAGGAAACCATTAAATATTTTCTAAGCTTAATATATTGTTTTTGGGCCACTTTTGTCAGAAAAACTCCCTCTAGCGCCTAAACGGTGAGAGATAGAGCCAAACGGACGAAATTTTAGCCCAAAAGACTCTACTTTCACGAGTTACCCCTTAGGAGACAATAAAAAAAAAAAATTTCCCACTTCTTGGACCAACCCCTATTTCTTTGTTACCCCCTCAGACCCACTCAGGGGTGGTTTCCAGGATTTGCACCAACCGTTTCGTTGTCCAGAAGTGACAACAATAATACCCTGAAAATTTCAGACCTCTAGCTCACGTCCTTCTTGGGGAACGGACAGACGGACAGACAGACAGACAGACACAGAGGCGATGGCATAAGCCCGCTTTTATAGCTTTTATTAAGCAAAAGAGCGGGCTAAAAAGCGGCGTTTTCCGTATTGACGGAGAAGGAAAAGGACGGAGATGCGTATCCCGGCCGTGACGAGGGCGGCCGTTCATTTGGAACGGCGGTAACGAATGGCTCCTGGCAGGCCCCCAATAAACCCCACGTGTTGCTAGTTCCTTGTTCCTGTGTAGCCCGGCCGGGGCCGCAAGCTCTCCCTGAACACCACCAGCTCGGAGCGTTATAGGCTCGGGCCGCGGGCCGACCGCGCTGTGCAGAACAAACGCCGCTGTCGTATCCATCACTATTGGATGCACCGCGCAAAGGTCGAGCGTGCCGCCCCCCGCCCCGCCCCCGGATGGTTTGGGGTTGGGGGGGCGGTGGCGGTGGCGCGGCGCGCGGCGGTGCAGCTCGGGGCCGCCGCCGCGCCGCGCGCTCTGTGAAGTGAGCCTCGGGAGATTCTGAAATAACTCGTCGAGAAATATGCGCGGATCCCCCAGGCTGGGCAGGCCGGCCCTGGCGGCTGCGGCGGCGTTGGCGGCAGCAGCAGCAGCAGCCATGGAGAAGGGCCGAGCGAGTCGGCCAGGCCGGGGGATCGACTGCTTGAAGCCAATGCGCGCTGCTTTGCCTAGCGTTTCCTTCTCGATGCGCCACCAGAGGTCAGGAGCGCACCGCGGCGTGGCGTGGCGCAGCGGCGCAGCGTAGCGCGGAATGGCGATGCCGGTGCGGCGCGGGCTGGCGCGGGCCGGGCGCGCGCGGGCCGCTCTTGAAACTCTTTTATCGAGGTCTGGTTATGGTAATGCGCCGCTGATGGAGTCTGGACGCCCCTCCCCGTCCCCTCCTTATGATGTCGCTGCCGCTACACCTACTTCAATGCACTATTTTCGGAAAGGGAAGGGGGTGTACAAGTGGATGAATCGGGATGGTGCAGTGGCGCTGGCGCGGGGCCAACGGGGGCAGCAGTACGCCGGGGCGTGGCGGGGCGTGGCGTGGCGTGGCGGCGAGGGCCTGCCTCCTGGAACAACACTCTGACTATGTCCTCTGTTGCAGACGCCATGGAGTGCACGCCGAGACAACACCGGCGGCAGCGGCAGCAGCAGCAGCAGCACCACCACCGGCGCAAGCAGCTCCGCGCCCGGCCACCAGGGCAGCCAGGTCCGTTAAAGTAGAGCGTAAGTGCAGGGCTCAATGGCCCTGCTTGCGGCACTCACGGCGTGATTCATGATTCCAACTTTAAGTAATGGGTCAAATTTCCCAGTTTGCGTCTCGAAATTACTGGTGTCCGCCTTATTACTGGCAAAAGTCCACATGTAGTCGAGGGAAAGGGAAGGGGGAAAGAGTCAAATAAAAAGAGACAACACCTCCACGGTGGTTTCCAATGACCTTGTTCTTGTTTGTGTGTGCGCGCGCCTGTGTGTGTGTGCCCGCCCACGACACACTGGGCTGGGGATGTCCCAGAGGAAACGTATGGCGTGTTCTTGGCAATGTCTAAAGTCGAGGGTGGTTGCAGACGAGTGGGTGCGGGACGTTTCTTAAACACAGATTGAACCCTGCGTGTTTTGTCTGTGCAGGCCCCTACGACGGCACGGGGACGCCTGACGTCCTACCGGTCGACGACGTCGGCCTCGGCCGCCCCCAATTCTGCCCCCAGTGCCGGCCCCAGCAGGGCGACCAGCCCCAACCCAGGCGGCCGGCCGGCCTCCCGCGACACCGCCCCCGCGCCGCCCCCACAATCACCCGCCCTCACATCGGTACGCGAGCGCCTCGCCGCGGCCCGCGAGAAGGAGCGCAAGGTCGAGGCCGAGCAGGCTGCTCGCTACACCTCCAGGGCCTCGTTAACGGCGGCCTCCAGGGCGCCGGCCGAGGCCGAGACCTCTCGCTTCAGCTCCAGGGCGTCTCGTGAGCCTGAGCCCAAGACTCCGACCCCAGTCAGCAAGTATGGCGGCTACACCCGGACCGGCTCCACGACGACCGGCAGGACGCCCACCGCCTCACCCGCCCTGGAGAAGAAGGAACCCCCGCCCCCTCCGAGCCGCTTCGCCATCAAGGACACGCTGAGCACGGCGGCCAGCAGGTACGCGGACAAGGGCAAAGATGCGGGGCTGAGCTCCGCGGCCGGCAGCCGGTACAACACCGCGGCCTCCAGTGCGCCGGCCGCCACCGACGCCAAGAAAGACGCGACTGCTAACACGGCGACTAGCAGGTACTCCGACAAGAAAGAGACGCCGACGAACCGATTCACTGGTGCCGCCAGCGCCACCACGACCCCCTCTACGACGCCGGCCTCCGACACGAAGAAAGAGGGCTCGGTGCTCAGCAAGTACTTGTCGGGCTACCGGCCACAGGCCCGGGGCAGGAGCCCGGAACAGAAGACGAGCCGCTTCCTCAACAAGGACAAAGACAAGGACCGTGACCGGAGCACCTCGTCGTCCACCTCAGGGTACTCCTCTTACCGGCCGAGCTCGTTGTACCCGAGCGCTCGCTCGTACTCGAGTGGGCTGTCCAGCGGCCTGTCCAGCGGCCTGTCCAGCGGCCTGTCCAGTGCAGTTCGCTCTCCGGCGAGCACAAGCCAGAGCTCCCCGGCCAGCAGCGCTGCCACCACCCCGACCAGCGCCGGCCCCACCGGCCTCGGCCACGGCGCGCCCCCTCCCGCCAAGCCGGGCTTGGTGTTCGGCAAACCGGAGCCGCCCGAGGCCGTCCTCCCTGCGTGGCGCGACGGCGACTCCACGTGCATCCTCTGGGTGACGATGGTGACGCGCTCCACGTCGCCGACCGCGCCGTCGCCTTCGTACTATCTGCGGACGCGGCGCGCGGACCAAGCGCGGACCACCGAGCGCGAGATGCGCCGCCCCATGTGCCGGCCCGAGCGCTGCGAACGCACCAGTCAGACGGACGACATGGAGACGCGGTGGTCGCGACACGCTGGACCCGGCGCCTGGACGTCGGCCGACTACCGAGCCTCCGGCGCCCAGGCGTCGGCGTCCGCCCGCCTGGGCTACCACGAGCCCACCGTCATCACGCCGACCTCGTGCAAGAGCCCCGAGCGGACCCCCGAGCGGACGCCCGAGCCCGCCAAGACTGAACCCCGGCCCGAGCCTGCGAGGCCTGCACCCTCGCCGGCGCCGGTGAGATCGCCGTCCAAGAAGGACGTGAGAGCGTCACCTGCACGCAGTGTACCGGCCAGACCTGCCAACGGTGACGCAAGAGCGGGCAAAGCGGCGAGCAAAGCGCCCAGCCCGGCCAAGTGTGTCGTGAAAGTCATAGAGACCAGTGCGGTGCGGCAGAAGGTAGCGCCGCTCGTCCCGGCCGCCGCGCAGGGCGCCGCCTCAGCCGCGCCGGCAGACGCGGATAGTGGCCACGCTCCGAACCTCGTCATCAAGATCCCCATCAAGGACTACCGTAAGTCAGCCCTCAACGTCGAGCTCAGCGGGGACGAGGCGGCTGAGTACAAGCGCCAGCAGGCGGAGCAGCGCAAGCTTTCCCGTAGGCTGACGGGCCAAAGAAGTACCTCGGAGAGCTCCGAAACGCCTTCCGATGCGTCGCCTTCCGTGCGTGAGCCGGGAGCGGCGCCTCAACTTGTAAAACCGGCGAGCAGTCCGAGCCCGAGCCCTGCCCCGCCCACCCCTGTGCGCACCCCCGCGCACACTCCCACC